TAACCCTCCAGAGGTTGATAGGCCTTATTAACCCTCCAGAGGTTGATAGGCCTTAATAACCCTCCAGAGGTTGATAGGCCTTAATAGCCCTCCAGAGGGTGATAGGCCTTAATAGCCCTCCAGAGGGTGATAGGCCTTAATAACCCTCCAGAGGATTATAAGCCTTAATAACCCTTCACAGACGGGCCATAAGCCCAACACTAATCAACACGATGGATTTTATCAATCTTTTGGAAATAACAAGTTACGGGAATTTTTACACCAAGAATATTCCGAGTATATCGGTTTAAATGTAGACTGAATTAATCTGTTTTAATACCAAACGCGCACATAATATATAAAACAATTGCGTTTTATTATATATTTAAATGTTACATGTTAACTTTTGATAATATTCAAAACAGAAATAGAAGTAGTAACAATTACAGAAGTAGATTACAAGTAGAAGAGTTAGTAGATTTCTAGTAGCAATACCTAGTAGCATCACTAGTAGTAGTTGTAGAGTAATTGCATATGCAAAAGGAAACATTAATTAACTGCTGTAGAATACTTAGCATTTACACTGAAAAATCACGAGAAATTGCTGTATCTATGAGAACATTGAGCCAGATGTTCTCAATGATGAGATCCCCCATTGGAGCAAGATGGGAATCGAACCAGCGTCCAGGGGAACCCACCAGATGCGTGTCTATAACCAAGTCGTGGTGCAGAGGTAAGGGCTTGCGTCTGGGAGTTACTCTGGACACTAGTTCGATTCCCCGTCCAATGATCTCTTCTATTAGATTTAGATTTTTAATTCAGGTAAGGGTACATGCATTAAGTTACATACGTAATGTTGGATTTAAAGATAGTACATTCTGTCGATAGTATTAAAGATAGTACATACTTACATTTAAAGATATTACATACAATACCTAAAGCCACTAGTACGCATAGCGTTTCGGGTTTCATTTTAATGTTTTAGGGGAGACTGAATTAGTATTGATCTAGACATAAATATTACTCGTTTCAATAACGCTATTAAATACCTTTTCGCCTCTGTAACCTCAATTACAAACTTCTCTCTATAGTATCACGAGGTCTCTATAGTATCTCCACAGCCATCCCTGGCCTCTATAGTATCTCCACAGCCATCCCTGGCCTCTATAGTATCTCCACAGCCTTCTCTGGCCTCTATAGTACCTCCATAGCCTTCTCTGGCTTCTATAGTATCTCCACAGCCTTCTCTGGCCTCTATAGTATCTCCACAGCCTTCTCTGGCTTCTATAGTATCTCCACAGCCTTCTCTGGCTTCTATAGTATCTCCACAGCCTTCTCTGGCCTCTATAGTATCTCTTCAGCCTTCTCTGGCCTCTATAGTATCTCTACAGCCTTCTCTGGCCTCTATAGTATCTCTACAGCCTTCCCTGGCCTCTATAGTATCTCCACAGCCTTCTCTGGCTTCTATAGTATCTCCACAGCCTTCTCTGGCCTCTATAGTATCTCTTCAGCCTTCTCTGGCCTCTATAGTATCTCTACAGCCTTCTCTGGCCTCTATAGTATCTCTACAGCCTTCCCTGGCCTCTATAGTATCTCTACAGCCTTCCCTGGCCTCTATAGTATCTCTACAGCCTTCTCTGGCTTTTATAGTATCTCCACAGCCTTCCCTGGCCTCTATAGTACCTCCACAGCCTTCTCTGGCCTCTATAGTATCTCCACAGCCTTCCCTAACCTCTATAGTACCTCCACAGCCTTCTCTAGCTTCTATAGTATCTCCACAGCCTTCTCTGGCCTCTATAGTATCTCTTCAGCCTTCTCTGGCCTCTATAGTATCTCTACAGCCTTCTCTGGCCTCTATAGTATCTCTACAGCCTTCTCTGGCCTTTATAGTATCTCTACAGCCTTCCCTGGCCTCTATAGTATCTCTACAGCCTTCTCTGGCCTCTATAGTATCTCTACAGCCTTCTCTGGCCTCTATAGTATCTCCACAGCCTTCCCTAACCTCTATAGTACCTCCACAGCCTTCTCTAGCTTCTATAGTATCTCCACAGCCTTCCCTAACCTCTATAGTATCTCCAAAACCTTCTCTGGCTTTTATAGTATCTCTTCAGCCTTCTCTGGCCTCTATAGTATCTCTATAGCCTTCTCTGGCCTCTATAGTATCTCTATAGCCTTCTCTGGCCTCTATAGTATCTCTACAGCCTTCTCTGGCCTCTATAGTATCTCTACAGCCTTCCCTGGCCTCTATAGTATCTCTACAGCCTTCTCTGGCTTTTATAGTATCTCCACAGCCTTCTCTGGCCTCTATAGTATCTCTTCAGCCTTCTCTGGCCTCTATAGTATCTCTACAGCCTTCTCTGGCCTCTATAGTATCTCTACAGCCTTCTCTGGCCTCTATAGTATCTCTACAGCCTTCCCTGGCCTCTATAGTATCTCTACAGCCTTCTCTGGCTTTTATTACCTCCTCTACAACCTTCAGAAACATAACGAAACTTTTATTTATTTCACGAATTCCGACTAA